GGCACCCCTGATTTTGACAAGGAGCGTACGATTTTTGGAAGTCCAATTTTATTCACCGTTATGAATTTGTGGTGTATACTTGAGTCCTTCCTAGCGAGCCGTCCAGTGTCTCGCCCTTGAAGAAGTGATCTCAACCTGCTCCTCCTCCTCCTCCTCCCCATCCTCCAGCACGGGCGAGCAAGCAAACGCGCTCCCGCTCCCGGCGGCAATACCCGGACTAGGCACCAAGACCGGCAACTGCACCCCCGGCGGCGGGGCAAACATGCCCATGCCTATGCCCATGCCCATGCCCATGCCCATCCCCACCGGCATCCCCATCATACCCATCTGATTGACATCCATACCTCCAATCCCCGGCGGCCGCTGCGGCAAAGGCGACACCACCGCCCCATTGATCCCATTAGCCCCCTGGTTATTGTTCCCAAAACCACCTGCAGTAAAAGCAGCCATCTGTGGCGCCGGACTCGCCGTCCCCTCCCCTCCCCCCTCCCCAACATCAGAACTACTCCAAACCGAAAAGGCACTCCCCTTCCTACCGTGACCTATCGATCCGGCGTGCAGGTGCCCACCGAACGGTGACTCCGACGGTCCCCTCTCCGACTTTGGACTCCCCTCCCTCGAGCTGACTTGTGAGCCCCCGCCGCCGGCACCAAACGCCCGGTTTCTCGCCTTCATGTAAGCAGCCACACTCAGCGAATTCTCGTCGTCCCCCAGCAGCGCCAGCTGCGCCAGACCCGGACTGTTGATCGTGAGTGAGTTTCTTCCCGTGTCGCTCCCTATCGCGGGGGGGAGCGTCAGGGACATGATCGAGTTACGGTTCGAGTACTCTGACCGCTCCGTGATGGGCGTCAAGTTTGGTTCTCGGCAGACGATGCGCCCGCTCTTGCTGCGGCCTAACCCCCCAGCCGGGCCAAAATACCCGCCGTTGGCATAAGAAAACAAATTCTCGGCACTGAGGTCGGCCTGCTGGCCGTTGGAGTTGTTGCCGCTGCTGCTGTTGTTGTGATGCCCGTAGCCCCCTTGCGGCATGGGGGCAGAGTAAAAGCCAAACTCTTGGCCATACCACCCGTCCGAGTCGTTGGCGAGCGCCTCAGCATTGGCTTCGGCAATGATGGCATCATCGTCAAAGTCGTAGTCGTCTTGGTAGCCGCCGCCATAGTCGTCATAGTCCTTCTCGTAGTCATCAAAGCTGACCTCTTTTTCGTAGTCGTCCAGGATTGCGTCGAGGTTGTTGGCTGACTCGGCCGAGTCAGTTGGAGATGTTACGGTGAGCTCAGCTTCGGGTGTTGGTGACGAGTTGCGACGGAATTTCCCCGAGGCCGCAGCCTTCTGAGCGGCTTCGGCGAGGGCAGCTTGGTATGCCAAGTCTTGGCCCGGGAAAGGCGACATTTCTGGTGGCTGAGGAGCCAGTTGGAATGCGGGTAATGGTTCCGCAGCTACCTTGTGTTCGGACTCAACGACCGGCTGCTGAGCCGCGGCGCTGATGGAGGTGTGGCCAGTGGACGCCGCAGCCCCTAAAGCCCCTGACGGATCCGATGTCGTGTCAGAGGTGCGGTTGGAAGCCCCAAGCTGCGCAGCACGCATGGCTTCCTGGGCTTGCGCAAAGGCACCAGGTATTGGACGCCCGTATTTGTCTGTATCGTTATTGTCAAAGATGGACTCGTCAATGACAAATCCATCACCGGTAAAATCCAGCTCATCAGCCAGCCCGTCGTCAAAGTAAATGTCATCGTCAAGCCTCCTCCTCTCCGGTGCTGGGTTCGGAGCGATTTCGGCTTCGGGCACAGGTTCGGGTTGAGACTCCGGCACAGATTCGAGCGCAGGTTCCGGGACAGCCTCAGGGGCGGACTCAACAACCGACAGGCTGGTGGGCCGATGAGTAGGCTGTTCCAACGTCGCACCTCCAGGCTCATCCCCTGGCTGAATGCTCAACCCGTCCATGGCCTCCTCCAACTTTGGCAAGGTCGAAGGGTCCGGAAAGGCGGGCGTCAGCAGACCTGGTGTCGTGTCCTTGGTCATGGCGTAGCCAATAACTGTCCCATTGCCATCTCGTGGAGTCGGCAGCTGCATCCCTGCCGGGCTATGAGGGCTGGCCACCGCCGAGGCTGGGTTCGAGCGCTGAAAGACAAATCCGGCAAAGTTCTCCTGGTCATTGTCCGGATCGCCAGCGGCTTCGGGGTCCTCTTCTTCTTCTTCTTCTTCAATGTCATAATCCATACTCACACACGGTATGTCCTCTTCGAACCCGTCATCGTCCATCATGGCGTCATAGTCAAAATCCTCGTCAAAGTCATCGAATCGCGAGTCGCGCTGGCCCAGTCCTATATCGTCAGCGGGCTTCTTCTCCTGTTCACGCATACGATGGCGCTCTTCCAAAAGCTTTTCCTGTTTGGCAGCTCCAATCATGTCAAAACTGAACCTCGACGAGGTGCTCTTCATGTGTTTTGGAATGGCAGACCGCACCGAGCTCTTCATGGAGAGCTTGGAGATGGAAAACGAGCGTGAGGCGGTGGTCCTGACCGATGCTTTCGAGTCCAATGGAGCACCAGCACCGATGGTAGTGGCCGCCGAGGTGGCCGACGACGAAGTCCGGGTGGACATGGCAGGCTCATCTTTGGGAGGTACGGGTGGCACTGCTTCTTCAGAAGCTGGAGGGAGCGTCCAGCCCCCATCAGCACTGCGCGTGCTTTCTGGGATGACCTCCTCTTGAAGGCGGTGACCGACATCACCAGGATCTGTCCGCGCACCCGGCGTGTCCGCAATCGCGGGCGTTTCTACCTGTGAAGCTGTGGTCGAAGCACTTAAAGCACCTTCGGTACTAGGGGTTACTCTTTTCGGGCGTGGGGCGCTGAAATCGTGGATTCTGGTGCCCCTGATGCTCACGTCTGGTGTTGGCGTCTTCACCACCGCTTGTGACTCTGGTGGCTGATTGCTTGTTTTTCTCCTCAGCAATAATGATGACATGGAATTTCGCAAAAATGGTAGACTCTTCCTCCCCTTGGGAGCAGGTTCCGAAGGCGCTCCCGACGGCTGTGTAAGAGCGGTGTCACTAGACCCGCGGGCCCCGGACGGCCGAGCAGAGGATCCTCCTGATCCCAGCTGAAGATCTGTCGGAGCAAAGAAGGATGACGATTTGGAAGACTTGGACGGTTTGACGGCTGTCAGAGCTGGCCGGGCAGCAAGACCGGTGTTGATGGGCGGCGGCGGGGCCTTTGTTCTCGAGAATCGTTTTTCCGGCAGCGAGGTAGCCAAAGACGACTGAGCATTATCCGGTGCCGTCGACTCCTGCATGGTCCTCCTAAGCTGATGCAGGGCTACTCCTCCCAAGAATCCGGTGCTGTTTCCATCGAAGGCTGAGCGAGCGGGAGGCGACTGGGTGCTGTTGTTGACAGGTGTGCGACCGAGGTCGGGGTCGGCCGAGGAGACTCGCGCAAGCGGCTGTAGGGTGTTGTTGTCAGCGTCATGGTGGTGGCCAGCAGCGGCTTCCCATGTCGCAATCTGGTCGGGGGTGGGCTCGGAGGGGTTGGACGGGGCTCGTCGGTGGAATCGCAGGTGTGACAGCATTTTCTACTTCTTCAAGACACAACAAGACCTGGCAAAGCAGGCGGGGGTCTAAAACATTGAATCGCGACAGCGTAACGCGATCCCAGCTCGGATCGCGGACTGGTGGAGGGAGGGGGGGTATCGTGTATCGTGGGTGGCGCCACTGTAGGAGAGAGACAGTGTTTGACGTTGGAACTTGTGTATGTATACAATTCAACACATTTGAGAGCAAAAGAAGCGAGCGACAGGCGAATTGAAGAAGAAGAAGAAGAAGAAGAAGGAAGATCAGTTTTGGTGAAGATGGGTTGATGCGACGGAACAAACTCATGGAATCCTTGGCGGTCCACTTGGTAGTGTCTGTCAACGGCCGAGGGGTCAGTGCGTTTAGTGGGTTGGTGGGGGGGACTTTGTTATCAACGACGGCTTCTGTCGAGTGCTATGGTGCTATGGTGCTATGGTACGGTTGACCATTTCCAGTTGAAGGATGTGTTCATCTGGAAGTGTATTTTATTGGGTAGCTAGGTAGGTAGGTATCTCCCTATCATTCATGGTGGTACTGACACAGCACACCTTGAGCTTTGGAGCTCTCTGCCAAGCTCCAGGGCATCAGATACGGAGCTCAACAGTGCGGTTCATCCCAAGATACAAGTCCCGGACTAAAGACGAACAAGAGGTTTTATCTCGCGGTGGGGATGCAGCTTATGCAGCAGATGACGGGGGTTAATATTGTGACTTGTTATGCGCCAACGCTATACAAGACCGGGTTAGGGATGAGCGAGGAAAAGGCCTTGCTGTTAGGGGGTTTACGCAGGCGTGATATGTCTTGGCTTCTTTTGTCACTTGGGTATGCTATCGACAGAGTTGGGAGGAGGAAACTATTGATGAGCATGGCGTTTGGAATGGGAGTGGTTTTGGTCGGGGAGGGGCATTAGCAACAGCAGCGGATTCACATCTAGGAACGATCACGACAAGTGGCTTGTCTGTTTCTATTTGAACGGTGCTTTACCTGGGGATGGATGGCGTGCGTGTGGGTGTGCCCTCCGGAAATTCTACCGTTGAGCATCAGAGCCAAGAGTTCGGCGTGGGCGGCGGCGGCCGTCTTTATGGGGAATTGGATCGTGGTAGAGGTGACACCGGTTGGGATCGCTAACGATGGGCTGGACGTTTTCATCTGACACGGGCCGGGTTCAACGCGGTCAAGGGCATTGTTATCTGGCTGTTTTACCCCGAGACGGGAGGACATGCCGCTGGAGGCCGTTGATCTTGTTTTACTGGTCCGGCTCAGCGTGTCACGACCGAGGACAGCGATGCGTGGTTCGGCAGGCCGCAGTGGGACAGGGTGAGGGTAGCTGAGGAAGCTGTCAGGGTCAGTAGACTCAACAGAGAAGGGGAGAGACAGCCTCTCCTGTCCTCTTGAGTGTGTATCTCTCGAGACCCGGATGAGCTGTCAGTCTCAAAAGACCAGACGAACTTCTTGACTCTCCAAACATGAAACACGCCCAAACGGGAATAGCGGCACACACCCCACGAAGCTTGGCACAGGCTAAAAGACAACGTCACAGGCCAGTCCCGGTCTCGTGTGTCAGGGTGGGTGTGTGGTGTGTAAGTGCCGTTCCAAGAATTTGACCCAAAGGGAAGAGGGAAGACGGGAGAAAAGAGGTCGTCATTTTTGCCTCTTTCTCCCTGTCTTTCGAGTTACTCAAAAGCAAGCTTCTGCTCTTGTTATTATCTGTGTCCTCGTCGCACCCGAAGTTGCGCACAACCGCTGCGGACCACAACACAATGCCCCACCTTCTTGCCTCTGTGCGTTGAGCATTCTCGTATCGCTTCTGCTTCCACTTGATCGGCCATCATCTTTTTCGATTCGATACCACTTTCTTTTTCATTTTTCGACTACTGTTTTTGCTCTTTCTTCTACAGAGGCCGCAAAACATGGCCGACCAGCCAGTAGCCCCCGCCCGAGCCAGCACCCTCGAGATGGAACGAATCCGCTACGACCCCGAATGGGAGATCCCCACCAACTACCCCCCTCGCAAAAAGCCCGAGAACCCCCTCCTCGCAAAGATCAAGTCGACCTTTACCACCACCACTCCCTCAACCCTCCCGCCACCAGCAGCATCAGCACCAGCCGTCGTCAACATCGACTCAAAAGAAACCTCCCTCCCCCCATCCACCTCCCACTCGGCCAACGGCGTCCCCCTTCCCCCGGGTAAACAACACCCCGGCCTCCTAAACAGGTACCTCCCCCCAGAAAAGCGCTGCTTTGGTCATCTCACCCGCCGTACCTTCCTCCTGCTCCTCCTCGCCATCCTTTTCATCCTGGCCCTCGCCCTTGGTCTAGGCCTCGGCTTAGGTCTCCGACACCGTCAGTCCGAATCCATCCCCCTCCCCTGGACCTCGGCCGGAAAGGGGGTACAAACCGGCTCCCTGACCTTTTACGACCCCTCCTCTGCCGCCGGAGCATGCGGGTGGTACAGCTCCGATAACGACTCTGTTGTTGCTGTTTCGCATGCTCTATTCGATGCTGGGTTGGATGCCTCGGGGACGAAAAACTCGAATGGGAACGTGCTCTGTGGACGGATGATACGAGTTTGGGAGGAGGGAAAGGAGGGGGATAAGAAGGTGGTGGAGGTTGTGGATCGGTGTACCGGTTGTGAGGTTAGGGATTTGGATTTGGGGGATGGGGTTTTTGGGGGGGTTACCGGGCAGGGGCAGGATAGGGGGCGGGTGAGGGGGGGGTGGGAGTGGGTTTAAACTTTTTTTGTTCCTCTCTTATTCTTCCTTCTGTTCTTGTGTTGGTGGAGTATGGAGTTTTGGAGGAGAGGGGGATAATGGATGGGTTGGGTTATTGGGACAGCGTATTTCTTTCTTTTCTTTTGTTTGTTTTTTTGCTATGTAATAACACTAGGGACTGGATTGGCAAGGGGTACTTCGGGGAGAAAATCAATGGACAGCACACAAGGGAAACAGGACTTGGAAGGTATGGGAAATGATACCGCACACGGGTTGGCGATGGGAAGAAAAGAGCAGGTTGCAATGGTCGCCTACATAAGGCAGTCGACGGACAGTTCTAGCGGCTGCTGAATATATCATTTACGCTCTGGCAGCAATGTGACTTTTGGCAGAAGTGTGAAATGCGTTAATGTGTCAATGCGGTAATTGACTGTCCTAGGAACCTGGCTTCTCTTTACCGCGGACATAATTCCTCCCTTTTCCATTCATGAAGAGAGAACCTTTACGGAACCCCTTATTCATCTCATCAGTGCCTCCCTCCCTCCCTATTTACTTACCTCTCCTATAAAATAACAAAAGGCTTTAAAAGAAAAATAATAAGCGTTTACATTATTTTTGAAGGCCTTTAAAAAATCTTTTACAGCCCTTAAACTGTATTTTAAGCCTTTTTAACTATCTTTTAAGACCTCTTAACTAAATTTTCTTTTAACTTGTTTTAACTATGTTTTAACGTCTTTTAACTATGTTTTAACGTCCTCTAACTATTTTAACGTCTTTTAACTGTATGTTAGAGCTTATTAAATATCTTTTACCCCTTAAATAGCCATGCTTTGCAATATACTTAAATTCTATATCAAGGGAGGGGGGGGGGGGATGCCCCAACACCCCATTGTGCGCTGCTGCCCAGTGCACGAGAACCCCGAAGGGTTCCGGGGTGAGCACGAGCTGCCCCCACACACCCAAGCCAAACACAAGAGCCTGGTCAAGAAGTGGCTTTGTCAGGACCCTGGCCTGCTCGGTATACCGCACGGCATAAACGGCCGCCAATGGCTCTGATGGATAGGAAGGCATGGTTGGCCTTTAAGCAATACGGGGCTTATTACAATCGCTTTGGTTACTTTGAGACCCACCCACTTTCAAGGCAAGGCACGGGAGGGTGCTGGTTCCACAAATGGGTGCCAAAGGCCCCAACTCGGGCCTCAAAGATTGGAGTGAAAAAAAACGCGGTCGGCAAGGGCCGGCTGGCCAATGGCCCCCCCCTTGT